TCTTATTTTTCCTCCCCTTCTAAAGACGGACAAAAACAACAAAAAACACCTAGCATTGGACCTGGCACTTGGCAGGGAATGGTTAACCCTGTCACACCTACTAACACCATAATCAAATGGTCTTTGAAAAGTCTCTAGTTTTGAAATTGTGCTCATTTCTCCTTTATATTTGGTATTGTCTCATAAACTTAAAATATTTTTATTGGTTATTGTAGAAAATACAACCTGCAAATAATTGTAAGTTCCTTATTTCTTACATGTACGTTTGAATTGCTAAGCAAATTAGTGTATTTAGTTTTTAAGACTATTTGGGGGAAGGCTTTATTAGTTTTCACTCTAATCTGTAGTTAACTTGTTTCAGGTTATTATTATTATATTGGCGAATTTAACTAGACCTTTAAAAATATAATTTTTTGTGATGCCAGCGTCTTTAATAAAGACTCATCTGTATGGGAAGATAACAGTCATGGCATTTGTGTAAAAATTTGACTGTTTCTTACTATTTGCCAGGAATACTACAATAAAAGTTTTTTTATTGAAGTATGATTAATATACCATGTTATATTAGTTCCAGGTGTAGAAAGTAATAGTTCAGCAGTTCTGTACCGTCCTCAGTGTTCACCGTAAGTGTAGTCACCATCTATCACCAAGCAACATTCTTACTGTCTTACTGATGGTGTTCTCTATGCTGTACTTTCATCTCTGTGACCCATTTATTTTGTGACTAAAAGTTTGTACCTCTTTATCGATCACACCCATACCCCCCCCACACACACCCCCATCCCTAGCAACAACCAGTTTGTTGTCTCTATTCAGGAATCTGGGGTTTCTTTGTCTTTTTTTTCCTGTTCATTGGTTTCTTAAATTTCACGTATGAGTGAAATCACGTGATATCTGTCTTTCTCTGTCTAATATATTTCACTTAGCATAATACCCTGTAGGTCCATCCACATTGTTGTAAATGGCAAGATCTCTTCCTTTATTATGGCTGAGTAATATTCCATTGTGTGTATATACCACATGTATATAACACCTCTTTATCCATTCATCTGTAGATGGACACTAGGGGTGCTTCTTTGTCTTGGCCATTATAAATAATGGTGCAATACACATAAAACAAATTTTTTTTTTAATTTAGATGTATCAAATGGCAGAAGACATTTATTTTTGTTAATAAAGCTCCCTATGTGAATCTAATATAGAAACTAATTTGATTTCCCATGAAACTCCTACCAAGCATTTTCAAAGCATAATTTGTGTCAACTTTCTTCTAAAAAATAGCTGATATTAACATGTAACTGACAGTAAAGTAAGTCAATAGGGAAAATGAGTTTATTGCTCTTTATGTATAAACCTAAAGAACCTTTAGGTTGAAATTTTAAATGTGGGTTACAACCTAAGTTTAATTTTTTCTGTAGCTTGGATGTAATTACTGGGACTTTGGACTCATGATTTGTACATGGCCTTGTCGGTTTCTTCCCTTTCCCTAGCACATGTATTTTTTTTTTAAGTTTTTTTTTATGTTTATTTATTTTTGAGAGAGAAAGGCTGAGTGGGAGTGGGGCCGAGAGAGAGAGAGGGAAACACAGAATCTGAAGCAGGCTCCAGGCTCAGCTGTCAGCACAGAGCCCAATGCGGGGCTTGAACTCACAGACCAAGAGATATGACCTGAGCCGAAGGTGGATGCTTAACCGATGGAGCCACCTGGGTGCCCTCCTAGCACACATAGTTTTATATGTATGTTTGTTATTTGTCTCATATCTTTCCTTCTGTTTTCTCTGTATTTCTGTATTTTCTCTCTATTTCTCTGTATTGGCTTTTGTGTACTACTGTGTATGTATACTCCATACTGTCATACACAGGAATCACCAGCTGCATGTGCTTATCATTTGGCACTTGAAAATGGTGCCGGTCTGTATGGAGATGTGCTATGAGTGTGAAGTACACACTGCATTTCGACGACTTGATAAAGAATGTAAAATAGTTCACTAATAATTTTGCTGTAATTCGATGAAACTAGAATAGTTTGTATTATATACTGTCTTACATTTGTTGGAGTTCCTCAGTGGGGAGGAGAGGAGAGTTGCTGATGGGTCTTTCTGCAGGACCTCCGCATCCTGATTGGTCCTGTAGATAACAGGAGTGGAGCCTCAGGATGAGAGCCAGTCCTGGCTTTGCAGCAGCTTCCTTGTGCTAGATGACTTGACATGTAAACCAGTGCAGTTGACCCTCAAACAACACAGATTTAAACGGGGCAGGTTCACTTATATGTGCATATTTTTCAATAAGTGCAGTACAGTACTGTGAATGTATTTTCTCTTAGGACTTTCTTAATATTTTCTTTAACTTACTTTACTGTAAGAATATAGGATATAATGCATATAATGTATATTACATATGAAATATGTAATATGCTGTATTACATATGTAATACATACTCTAACATGTAAATTGTTATATGTATTATATACAATCAGTATATTATAAACAGCAATCAACAACAGTTTATAAAACTTATAAACAACTATTATAAACAGTTAATCAACTATGTTATCAAAAAAGCTTCCAGTCAATGTATTAGATACAGTCAATCAGCAGTCTCTTATAAACAGTCACCTGCTTATATTATCATCAAAAAGGCTTCCAGTCACAGCAGGCTAGTAGATAAGTTTTGGGGAGTCAGAAAGTGATACAAAGAATTTTGACTGCACAGAGGTTTGGTGCCCCTAACTTCCACATTGTTAAAGGGTCAACTATATTTTTACATTACTTACTTTCTTTAATATATATTATTATTAAATTCCATTGTATTTGCATTATGACAGTGGTATTAGCTTTGGCTTGCATTTACTCACATGTATAAAGGCACCAGGCAGGTAGCGAATGAATCCGTCCTTGGTCAGACAGTGCGCAGTGGTAGGTGTCCCGGGCAGTGGGCATATGCCCTCTCTGGAGTGACCCTTATTCCTGTTCAGCCGATCCTTGCCCTGTGGGAGCATACGTTCTCAGATATTTCAGGTTTTCAAGAAGAGCCAAAAATCTGTGGATTTTTAAGAATCTGAGATCACCCAATCTTTAAACACTAACAAATAATGCAAAATTTTAAACTAGCTCTGCAGGTGAAACCAAATATAAGTGTGGTCTAAATGACCTGCTGTGTCACTTGGGCCTAAGGGGTTGCTTCTTGGAAATAAATACAGGTTTTAAATACTTCAGATGACCTAATTAAAATATACCAAATAAGAAGGGGGAGTAACCCCCCTCTTACTCCCTCTTCTTAAAGGGCTTATTCCCTTTTAGAGAATATTAATCTCAAAATAGTGGATAACTGTAAAATAGGACGTTACAGTTCTTATGTATTTTTGAGGATGTATTTCTAGTACCATATATACTTTTATTTTTTTGTAGGGATGTATTTCTCCTTATTCTGTTTACTTTTCTGTTGCTCATTTTAATGTGCATTTAGTTTTTCTGAATACTTAGAAGGTGGCTCACGTTAGGTTGCTTCTATAACCTCCTAGAGCTCCCTTCTCCGGTGCTACATGTGTGTGCTGTTCAGAAGTATGGCAGTTGCTTTCTGAGATCTCCCAGCTCTGGTTCGCTGCCCCGACCTTGAACTGAACCTGCACTTTTCTTGGTCTTTGCTGTCCCTGTCCGGCTCTGTCTTGACTCCCTCCCAGCAGCTTATAGTGTGTGTGGCCTCTGTGCTGACCAACATCTTGGAGTGGCCGTTTTGAGAGTTTCCAGGGGCTAGCTTTCTCCAGCCCCGGGAGAGGCCTGTGCTAGTCCTCCCTGCACTCACCAGGCTCGAGCTCTCCCTGCACCCACCCACCAGTTGCGAGCTCCCTGCACCCACCAAGTGTGAGCTCTCTCTGCACTCTACAGGTGTGAGCTCCCTGCACCCACCAGGTCCGAGCTTTCACAGCATGCTTTTCCACACAGACACTGATCATAATATTTAGGTCTGAGGCTGTTGGTGCTTCACCGAGAAAACTTTTCCATATAGCTATTTGTAAATGTTTCCATTTGGTTTGGGATCTGCTCTCTAGTTCCATCTGATTTCATGGGGAATCATGAAGATCCAAAACCTGCTTAAATGCCGCTATCCACTGGGAAACCCAGGTGCAGCAAGTGTGTAATCTGGTGTGGGGCTGGCAGGCTAATTGATTAGACAGCTCAGCATGTTTGAATAGATTTACAGATTTTGTTTAAGAACAAAGTCATGTTTTTTCTGTTAACGTTGGGGAAAAAGTAAGCAGTCATTTGCTGCTGCTTATTAAAAAAAAAAAAAGCCTTTACCAAAAAAAGGGATAGAAGGAGTAGAAAACTTGCAGTAAAAAGAAATGACTTAGCTTATGGTGTGGAAAGCCATTGATGGCTGGCACTGTGCAGACTCCACTCCAGCCACAAACATAGCAGCGCAGCTGGGACAGATTGTGTTTCCAGCCTTTGTGGTTCTCTTCCCAGTGTAGTGCCCAAGGTGGGTCTTATAAAACATTGAAGGATTATGTGAATTACCATTCACTGTTCACACAGGTTTTAACCACAAAATTTACTGAGTATTGCTTGTCCCCATTTCCTAGATACAGATACAGTAGAACCTGAGGTTCATTCAGAAGACCTCCATGGAGTGATCCATGTTTACTAAGGGCAGTGTGCTCCATTTCGTTCATGGAAAGGCATACAGTTTTGAAATCTGTATCTGCTTTGAGTTCTTTAATCTACTAAGAAAGACCCTCTTCTCTCTTTGAACATAAAGAATAGCAAGTGTGCACAGTGTTTTAGTGGATTTGTAATACTACAGCAATCCTGAATTTGGAACTGAACTCTGAGTATAAAACCTTCAGTTCTCAGCCACACAGAGCTTTAGCCGTATTCTTGACGTCTGTGTATAAAGATTTGAAAAGGTGAGAGAGTTGTGTCCTACTTCTCACTAGTGCAGATACTACCTCCCATGACATGAATGCATATACATATTTTTTCTCCATTTGTCTTTTAAGGTCTCAGCCAGTTTCCTCCCCAGTCGTCCTGCAGTTTGGTCACGCAGAGACCCTTCTTCCACTGCTCTCCCTCATGGGCTACTTCAAAGATAAGGAGCCCCTGACAGCTTACAATTACAAGGAACAAATGCATCGCAAGTTCCGAAGTGGCCACATCGTGCCCTATGCCTCAAACCTCATATTTGTGCTTTACCACTGTAAAAACGCTACGACTCCCAAAGAAGAGTTCCGAGTGCAGATGCTGTTGAATGAAAAGGTGTTGCCATTGGCTCACTCCCAGGAGACTGCTTCCCTGTATGAGGATCTGAAGAACCACTACAGGGACCTTCTCCAGAGCTGTCGCACCAGTGACGAGTGTGAATTACCAAAGGTGAACAACACGTCTGATGAGCTATGAGTAACCGAATAAGATTTTCCACCCGTCAGGGGTGATCCCATGCTTGCACAAGCCGGGCAGGCTGCATTCCCAGGAAGCTTTCCCAGTACGTGCGTCTTTCTGTCTCTTCACAGAAAGATGTCGAGTTTCCTTTTGAATCTGGATGGAGATGTGTGAGCACGGCTCCTCACTGGGGCAGCTCTCTCAAGGGGAAAAGTCTGTTGGAAGAAGTAGTTGGCCCTATAGCTGTTTACGGAAATTAGAGTCTTCCTATTTATAGACAAGCTCTCACACTGACATAGAACATGATTTCAGAAGGATCCTGGAAAGTGCTGGAATCACAACGTCTGTGCTGTGTATGATCCATAACTTGACTGAACGAAGCATAGGAACCTCACAGTTGTGTCACCCTTGGCTTTCCCACTGGTGGCACAGCTCTGCTGTCATCTGTCTGCGGCAGAAATCTCGTGGAGCCCCTAGAGCATCACTCCGGAAGAAAGCTAACCTCTCTACTTAAGGATTTGAAATAATACTAAGAAACAGAGTGTGATTTTCAATGGACACCTTCACTGAAGGAAGACAGAGTATAATAAAATAGACATTTTATAAAGTATCTGAACACCTTTTCAGTAATTCCTCTTGACCTATCCTAGTGAGTCTTGCGAGGCCATTCTTTAATTACTCCCTTAGCTGCTCTGCCTTTATAATGGTGAAGGGATGATAGGGACCATTAGCAGCCAGTAAGACAGAAAGAAAGTTTCAGAAATCAAAGTTTTTTAATTGGTTGCTTCACAGGGTTTTTTTCATTCTGTCACTTTGCTTCTTTTTATATTTTGCTACTGTGTGAAATGTATCTTTTAGTTATTTACTGCTTTTCCATTCTCCCCCTTCCCCCAACCCCCAATAAGGACTTCATCCTGGCTGGCTTGGTTTCATGGATCTGAACCCATTTGTCAAAAGATATTTCTGGCTTTGTCAGATGCCATGAAAGTGTTTGCTATAATAATAAACAGAATTCTTGTGACTTTATTATCAGGTCTTTTCTGCTGTGTTGATAATACAGACAGTAATTGATGGTAAAAAGTTGGAATTTCAAGAAGCTTTGACTAAACTATATAAGGCAATTTTCTTCTAATAGAAATTTCCTCAAGTAAATTTCCACTTCTTTAAGAGGAATGAAAATTAATTTTCCTAAAACTCTAGATTAGAAATGTCACAACTATATACTGAAATTATAAAAGAAGATGTATAGACCATCTGTTGATGATTGATCCTCAAATGAATTACGTTTATAAAATAGATAATTAGCTGGTAAATACTGGTGATGCACCAATACACAATACACTGCTGATGGTCCCGGCAAAGGTCTGGTGTTACCTATTTTTTTAAATGGGCAGAGAATAGAGTACTATAACCAGCATTCATATCCATCACCCTGTTTTTAGATCCAAATAAGAACTGTTAAGGTCTTTTTTGTGTTCTGTGCCTCGAAGTAACCAACATATAAATTCAGTATTTATGGGGTGGCTGGGTGGCTCAGTTGGTTAAGCATTCAACTTCAGCTCAGGTCATGATCTCACAGTTCATGGGTTTGAGCCCCGCATCGGGCTCTGTGCTGACAGCTAGCTCAGAGCCTGGAACCTGTTTCAGATTCTGTCTCCCTCTCTCTCTGACCCTCCCCTGCTCACGCTATCTGCCTCTCTCTCCCTCAGAAATAAATAAAAACATTAAAAGAAAATTTTTTTAATTCAGTATTTTCACCATTCCATTGCTGCTTGACTCATGGAACCTTGCAGTATTGTTGTGAGGACTCGCATTTTCTGTGAAAGGACATACTGTACATCTCATTATTGAGTGAGGGATTTACTCTGCTGTGTTTTCTCTTGAAGACTTTTCTCGATCCTGATTATTTGTCACAAATTAATTTTGTCAATTCATCAATACTTGAGTACTTGATATGTGTGCACACTAGACTCAGTCTATAGGCATATAAAATAGAATGGACCTAGTTCTTCCAAGGGAGTTCTCTTACAAGCCCTTAAAACACATTTGCTTGGCGTTTGACACATTGACTAAACAATTTTTGATTCATAAACTTTCTCATGAAAGGTTTATAAGAGTCATTTAATTTTATTGTTTTTTTACTTTTTTAATGTATTTTATTTTGAGAGAGAGAGAGTGAGCAGGGGAGGGGCAGAGAGAGAGAAGGAGACACAGAATCTGAAGCAGGCTCCAGGCTCTGAGCTAGCTGGCAGCACAGAGCCTAATGCGGGGCTCGAACTCACAGACTGAGATCATGACCTGAGCCGAAGTCGGACGCTTAACCAACTGAACCACCCAGGTGCCCCAGAGTCATTTAATTTTATTGTTAAAAAGGACCCAATAGTCATCCTAACAGTCAATATTTCAGGCAGGAGGGTATGTGGTCCAGTTTAGCTAATGCTACAGAGATTGTGTTATTATCCTGGGGCTATTATTCCCATTGAGGATATGCCTAAAACTGAAGAATTTTGTGGTAAAAACCAACGGTCTTCTCCAGGATGGGATATATAAAAAGTTGAACATCAAAAAATGATCTTTGGCTAACAAGTTTGTAATAATAGATGACCATATTATTCGGTTAAGCCAAAATTTACTGACTGCTGGTTCTGACATTTTTGGTCGATTCATAACAGCCTGTGGACATGAGCCATTTTTTCTGTCTAGTCTACGACTTGATGTATGCATACATCGTACTGTTTTTTATAGTCATGTTATCATTTTGAGGCTTCTGCTCTCCAACCCGTAATCATTCACTTGATACTATTTTTGTATATAATCTTTAACACTGAAAGCAAAACTGAACTCGTAAAGAAAAAAGAGCTGTTTTTTTCCCAGGCACAATCAACTTTCGCATCTTCCCTTGGTCGCTTTCCTTTTGTAGCCTACAGAACTGACACATGCCCTCAGATATCTGGGAGTCACACATAACAACCCAACCAGAAGATGTTAAGTGTAAATTTTCAGAATATATTTCTCTAAGGTGGGTATTTCATGTGGTTCATTAATGATCCTTGGAATTCAGACTGTCTTCTGAATGGAAGCTGAAAATAAATATTTGCATTACCATACAATTTGCCTATATCTGGCCATCCTGAACTTGCTTCCCAGATTACTGTGTTCCTTCCAAACCATTCTTTCTTACTCCCTTAGCATTTCCCTCCACTCACCCAGCAGCTCAGGCCACTCCTAAGCACCTTCACATCCTGTTAAGGTTTTTTTTTTTTTTTTTTAATTTTTTAACGTTTATTTTATTTTTGAGACAGAGAGAGACAGAGTATGAGTGGGGTCAGAGAGAGAGGGAGACACAGAATCTGAAACAGGCTCCAGGCTCCGAGCTGTCAGCACAGAGCCCGACGCGGGGCTCGAACCCACGGACTGTGAGATCACGACCTGAGCCAAAGCCGGCCGCTTAACCGACTGAGCCATCCAGGTGCCCCAGTTAAGTTTTTTTATTGTGTGGTGTGTATATGTGTACATGTGTATATATAATAGTATTTTGAGAAATTTCCACAGCAAAAAAAAAAAAAGTCATGTTCTTCCCAATTAAAAGATTTGTAGTTTGAGCATCCTACCTAGCAACCTGGGAGGAGGTTGACTTTTAGAACTGTAGCCATTTGGGGCACCCAGCAGCTCACTGGGTAGAGTATGTGACTCTTGATCTCGGAGTTGTGACTTTGAGCCCCAGCTCGGTGTACGGTTTACCTTAAAAAAAGAAAACTATTTTATCACTACTAAAGTAATATATTGTAAGATAGAGGGATTCTTCATTTTACTCTAAAACTAGTCTCAATTCAACACCTTCCACCTATTCCGAGATTTTAAGCCATTTAGACTCCAGCAGTTCATGTTCACACTTGTTTAATGTACTGGTAGAACAAATATTTGTTCATTAAAATGACAGCCTTCCAAATTCAATAATACTCCTAGTATGAGAAAATTCCACTAGAATATCGTACATGATTTCTGAAACAGCTAACATGAAAGATTAGCTGGGATGGAAATCTATGGATTCTCCCTGCCTTTTTCTTTATAGAGTTCATGCTGCCAACCTTGGCTCTGATTGTCTTTTGACCAAACGTTAGCAATATGGGTGCTTTTGGAGACTTTTCAACAAATACTGTTTTTTAAAAAAAAAAAATCCAGTTTTGATACAAATTCCACAGATGGTGATGTATGTCTTTGGGTGGCTCCAGATGAGAAAGCTCTCTTTAATTGGTAAGAAACATTCTTCCGTGGAGATTGGAAGAACACTAGCCCTGTGTTAGCCATAGTCGCTCCTCCCCTGACCATGCCTGCCCTTTCCCTTGCCTTCCCGAGATGGTGGGGACCACAGAGTGCTTTTTCTTCTGTCTGCAGTATTGCTCCCTGACATTCTGTCACTGCATTAGGGGGATGACAAGGAGAGCCCGGTTTCCTGACGTGACTCTTTTTAGATGGTTACAGTTTTGTAATCTTCCCCTACTCGAGTGCTGTCCGGAGTGGGAAAAGAAACTGGCTTTCAGAGATTTCCTTGCCGTTTCTCTACTAAGATGACTGAGAAAGAGTCTGAGGACAGATTGAGACGCTTGGGACAGATAGAAGGAATGAGAGAAGCGAGGCCCTGCCTTTTCCTCGCTGAGTGACAACCAGACGCCGCTGGGATTCTGCGTGAGCCTGGTTGCAAGTCTTCAGAGCTGAGACGAGAAGTGGAGTGGGGCAGCCAGCCCTGTGCAGCTTTTTCAAACAAATAATGCTGATGTTTACCTTATCACCTGCTGGAGGTGGGAGATTGAATAATACTTGCTTTTCGAGTCTGGCTATTAGCAGCCCCACTCTTGAAAAAATAGAAGCCTAGCTGGAAGACTTCCCTCCAGCCCTGTGAGCTTCAGAGAACTGTTTTCTTTGACAGATCTAAAAGCTCTGGTTCCTGAGTATTTTATAAGCACCACTGTAGATCAGGGCATATGTTATTTGTTAGTATTTGCCCAAATAGGGATTCACCAAGTCTCGTCTTCAGAGAAAAATCATCTCATGGTACAAAGCCATAATGTAATGAGATATTTGATCTTTCTCAATGTACCTGGTGTTAACTAGGTTCCCTGTAAGATTGTGTGTAAACTAATAGTTCCCATTGGGTAAAGGAAATACCTATACTTACCATGTACTTCAGAAGGTATTTTACTGTTATTCCGCTTAATCTGTGTTATGGACTGTGAGGTCTATAGTGTGAAACCCATTTTGCAGATGCAGAAATGAGGTTGAGCATAACAGTGCCCGTTTTTTTTTGTTTCTTTGTTTGTTTGTTTTGGAGTTTTTTTGTGTTAACACTTGAAGCTCTATTCAAATGAATTCCTTCTATCAGTGGTAAGAATGGAATTTCAAGTTCATCTGAGGCACTTTGGTATGCAGATTGTTTGAGTAATGCACTCTGATTGTACAGCACATAAATCTCTTGATTATGCTCACCAGTGCAATGAAAATGCTGCTCCCTTTGTCCTTCTCCAGAGCCCTTGGCTCTAACTGCTGAGGCCAAGGGAGACAAAATGTCATCAGAGCCTTTCAGATGACCTTTCTCAAGACAGATGGGTTCCTCCTGTCTCTTCAGGCTCAGTGGATTGTGCCACACACCTGGTGTAGAAGGCTTTCTGGGTTCACTGGGAGGGCAGGTTGTTGCATCACAGATCATCCCTTAAAATTATATTTGTAGTATTTCAATTTTTTTTTAATGTTTCTTTATTTTTGAGAGAGACACAGTGTGAGCAGAGGATGGGCAAAGAGAGGGGGAGACAGAATCTGAAGCAGGCTCCAGGCCAAACCCACAAACTGCAAAATAATGACCTGAGCCGAAGTTGGACACATAACCGACTGGGCCACCAGGTGCCCCATGTACCTGTAGTATTTCAAAGCAAAGTACAAGTCAGACCCTGTTGGAGATTCTAGGTCATTTCAGTTCCAAAATAATGGGGATGATGGTTATGTTGTGTACCTTCCATTTCCCTTCCATTGCT